ATGCGGTAGAGGCAAGGGTTTATCCCCCCCACGCGAAGCGCGTGGTGTGAATACACTGTGCACGCGGACAGAGTGTCTGGGTTTCTTTGCTCGACAGGCTCCACCAATGGCCGAAATCTACCGTTCCGAGATTTCCACCTAAGCTGCTCGGTGCGTTCACCATTGTCCTCCACACTAGTGAAATTGAGATCAAATGCCCTGCTGAAAAGATAAACATAAGAGAGGAGTACAGCGTCATAATAATGTCGACCGGAAAGCATTCCGCGATCACAAGTTGGGAGATCGGTACGCCACTGCAACTTTATGCTTACCCACACCATATCGAGTGGACTATCAAAACAATCATATTTAACTGTGGTCCTGAATGCATTACATGTACTTATTTTCGCAATAAGTGGGTAAGTCCAGAGTAGCAACCCACACTCAGTTTCTCTAATCTGAGAAGGCACGCGCCCCTCCATATTGGTGGCCCATTTCCCATGTCTCGGTACTTAGCAAATGTTTCCGCTGACACGCGGGTTCCGAAGGAACACCAATTACTGTTGGTAGGCACAGAGGCCATCCTTATGCCCTCATAGTGCCACTGTACAAGCCTGGATTACATGCCCTACAATTCTGACAAATGCCTTTGCAACTGCCGTCTGCGACTGTCGTGGGTTCATTTCTGCCCGTTGCGAAGCGCAACAATCGCTTGGTGTTGAAGGTGTCCTTGCATCACCATCTCTTCCTCTATGGGCAGCAGTTGCTGTGGTCTGTACTGCTCTGCATGCGCACGAAACAATGCTGTGAGCAACACCAACGCCCCTAAACACATCTTTCCTCGCCCAGTTCCCCAGTGATTCTTCCTCGCGTGAAGTCGTACTAGTGTTGTCTCCGAGACTTGCTGTAATCAAGAACACCACTGTATCCCACGAAGCCTTCGCCGTGGCCAGTGCACTCCTTCTTTTCGTTCCGCCAACTCTCTCGTACTGCGTGGCCGATCCCTTTTGGCCCCAGGTTTAAGCGTACCCGGCGACCTATAAGATCCAGACATAGTGCATGGTTGGAAGACCTTTAGCATCATTTTGCGAACTTTAATCCAATTCCATCGTATTTTTGAAAAGTAATGTCACTTGATCTCTACTTTCCCTAAGTTTTGCACACCAGGTATATTCACAGGTGGACGCAGAATGAGGAGAGCTCGGCAATAATGATGAGCACTGCATAGGATTACATTAATAGCCGGCAGCGGAATCGCCAAGTATGGCCGCAGCGTAAAATTTAGGATCCGGTGAGGACAAGTGACTCGTGCACAATAGTTAACACGAGTACAGCAGATATAATTAAGCCAATACAAATGAAAAACGGTTCCTTCAGTTCAGTCATGAAATGGTTTTTCAAACGGAGCCCAGTAATAAATGGACAGCCAATCGCACGATGCTGAAAAACTATTACAAGAACTCATTCACAATCATTGAAAATTGGTTCCATCGTGACTTACTGACGTGCACCTATACCTATGAAAGAAAAAAAAGATATGGTTTTCGTGGAACGACAATTCTATATGACTACATGGCATCATTGTCTTTACGCGTGTACATCTTTGAGCTTTGAGAGGGCTTGAAGCAGGGAAAGTTGTAAGCCAAAACTTTCGTACCATATGATATGTGACGGGCAGATTTGTGACATGTCAGCGATGAGATAGGTTAGCGGTACAGAACATATGTCAGAAAAAGCGTAAACTTAAACCTGGTTATAAACAATGTTGAAGTGACTCAAATATTCAAGAAGCGTTACTTTTTAGAAGCTCAAGGAACTTCCACATCTCACGTGAACTGGAAATACGTGCTCTGCATGTGGTAGAGTTTTTCGATAGGATTGTCCGGATAAGACTTTTCTGGTTGGTCCATGTCCAAGTCGTCGCAGTCGGAGCAGTTTTCTGAATGAACGTTGACTTATTGGGAGCATTTCAAATACTCACCCAAGACCTCAAGCACAGCACTAACCTTCATCTGAGCTCTTCTCGCCTTCTATACTTTTACCTTCAGAATCCAAAGCACTTGAACCGCGCTTACTCTCCTCTTTTCTTTGCATTTTCTTCATCTGTAAATAAACACATTGTATAGGAAGTAAAATGATTTTGAGGCGGCAAAGGTTGATACGTAAAGTATGAATGTGATGACTCACTTTTGCTCGTTGATTCTGGAACCACACCTGGACCACACGAACGCTCAAGCCGGTCTCTTTAGCGAGTTGTTCTCGAATCTGAGAAGGGAAATGTAGTGGGAAGCTCCACAAGAAGTATTACTTTGAGACGCGAACTGATACACTCCGGCATTCAATGAAAATGATACTACTTCGAATCAGGTCAGAGGACAGAATGGAAGCGTTGCAGTTGCTCGAAACGAAACATACTACTTCAAAGCTTCGCATTCTTCCCAGACCGACCATTCTCTCAATGCCATTGCAATTGATTCTTTGATAAGAGGGAGAGACACCACGAATATTATGACACGAACATCGGATAGTCTTGCAGCAACTGAAGTTTATTGCATAGCTTTAAAGGAGGACTCCACGGAAAAGACGAAGGT